ATAACTATTTATAATGCTCCCTAAATAATAACAAAAATTAATTACAGTGAAAGCAATGAAGATTTTAAACCTTTTTTTGATTTACGGTATTTTCTTATTTTGATCTTTTGAGCTGTTTTGTGTTTAGAACAATATATACTAATTTTTAAAGTATCAAATTGAATTTTTGTTTAATAAAAATCTTACAAATGCGACTGTAGCTTTTTTTCCCCAAAACTTTGTCTTCAAAATAAGGGTGCGTCTTATATTCCGAAAAATACGGTAATAAGGCTTAAGTTAGATTATCATACTATTAATTAGACATGAGTATTCAGTTTTGTTTACCATCAATCTGTACCTTATTTTGTGTTCCCTTGAGCTAAGTATTCTGAATAAGTTTTGATCAGACTTGATAATTCGTGGATCTAAAGATAAATCAAAAGAGGTACACTTTATACGATGTGACCTTTATCCTTTAAAAGTAAAACTTAATTTTAACTATTTCATTATCTCTTACATTTCCAGTACACCTTCACTTCTGAATCTTATGCTACTTTTTAACAGACCGACTACAAAGGTGTTGTTTATTAGTATAGACGCAGTAGAGTTTTGGTATTAATAGATTGTTAATTCCTGGATTAGCGGTAAGTTTATGGACTTACAACGTTAAATTTGGAGGTCGATTCAGTGCAGTGGGCAGATTGTAGATAGCCGAATGTGTAGCTTTGCACCAAGAAAATAACAATAACAACTACCCCTGTCTAGAGGCGGACAACGTTTCGTCGGCTTCTGTATTGAGACATTCAACCTGTAGAAAGCCTCAGCAGAGTAGTCGTCCCTCTGTAGATACAGGCAGGAGCTATACATTAAAGCCAGAACTATTATGACAATGTGTTTAGATAAACAGATAGATTTATAATTGCACTATTCAGCTTTAAATATCTTGTATGAGTTGTAATTATGAAACTGTTGAAATACATGTTTTATTTTTCTTCTAGTGTAATGTGGATGTATTATTATTACGTGGAAGACAGATAGGGGCTATGTCGATGTTTTTCTTTACATATTGATATCACCCTTTTTTCTTTTTTAAGGGGTTTATCAACTCCGGCTATGCCGTCAATGGGATTGGACACGTAAGTGTTAACATCTATTTTATTAAAGTTCGATCTGTTTCGTTCATTTGATATATATATATATGTGCGTATATTAACTGACGGTAGCATTATTATGTAGTATTTATGAATTCTGTGCATGCTAATTATTTTAACGCCTCTATAAGAGTATGTATCATATAGCATCGTATAGTCAGAGCCGGATTAAGCGATATGGCAAACACGCACATGCGTTGGTCCCAGACCAGAAAAAAGCTCATGAATGAAGGTTTCTTAAAAGGTGCCAAAATTTTCTTAAATTACTACAGCTAAATTTTTTTATACTGAAATATAATATATTTTTAATTAAAGACGACACGGAATATCAATGTACAAAAACAAGTTTTTAATGTTAAACTAAGTTAGTTTTGTAAAATAATGCGGTTGTAATGTTTCTTTCATTATTACATCTTATTGAGCTTATAGTTATCCTAAATAAATTATAAATTATATATATTGTGATTAGGGTTGTCTAGACAAATCAAACATATCCTTACAATGAAGAAAATTATTATGTGTTTTACATTCATTTAAAGCTAGATTGTCATTAGCTGTTAAAAGTTGTATACGTTTCCCTTTGAATCTTGGGTTCGTGGTTGAAAGGAAGGGCCCATAACATTTGCTGTGCGTGGGGTCCAAGATACGCTTAACCCGGCTCTTCATATTGTAAATATTATTTAAAAACGATTCTCTGAATCTGTTACACCACATACGATATTCCACCTCCAGGAGGCACACATCCAGTATTCCTCAACTGTCTTGCAAAGTTTATGGGATGTGCGTTGTCGTATGATGAAATAGAGGAGATACTTTTTTTTTTGGTACATGGGAAAATATTTCACTAAATTTTGCCTGTCCTGATGTTAACGTATTATACTACGGAATTTAACGAAGCCAGTAATCATCGGGAACTATGAGGAAAAACAATCACCCGGCAGATTTTCTGTCAAGATTGCACATATCTCGGAGGACAGATGTCAGAAGCATCAGATTCAAAACTCGCGAGTTTTAAAGTAGCAAAATATCCGTCGTGTAACAGATGTGGGTTCGATCATGAAGCGATACCAGTTGCAAAGAAAGCAAATCGTAGAAGAGGACAGAGAAGAATTTCCGTTAATATTAATAAAATGCCACATTGCCGAAGAGAAACATGTATACCTACAGTCCAGGTATATGTTCACAAAATCGTCGGAAAACGTGAACAGAGCGGTGATAGTGGTTAATTTAGGGGAGATACCACTATATTCACAGAAAAACCACAGCAAAATACTCCCCCAAATCAAGCCGTACAGATCCCTGTATTTGATTTCACCGTTTATCCGATTAACTTGGAGATTCGTTGTTGAAACTTAGCTGCGGTCAAATTTCCTGTAGGTGTATAGAGGGGACCGTCTTAAATGTCACGCGTGAATTTTATTAGTCATGCATGGACAACATAATGTACTAATACGAATATATTATGTTTGCGAATGTGAAAATATCAGTATTCATTACGATCGTTTTATTAATAACAGAGTTGTTATTACGAAACTAGTTATTTGTTGTCATTGCTAGATGATCCTTATATTTTGTATATGATGAAACACCAAGCATTCATAAAACTACAAATAAAAAATTAATATTATACACCAGAATATTCTTCGCTTGGCAGGATATGCTGTCCAAATTGAATCATCGTTGTATACTTTGCTTTTAACTTACGTACTTGTATGTAAATATGAAATAATGTCGTCATATTTTAATTTTAATCAAGTAAAAGTACAAGTGCCACTGAAGTCTCTAAACCAAGTTGGGGAAATCTTGGCTTGCTTGTAATTGTCGCTGAAACACACCACACAAAGTCCAGCTACTACTTTACTTAAGGAAATTTTCCAACCCTATCTTCTAATTCGGCCTTGTGAATAGAAACGTAAGAACACTTTATTTGATTAACGATACTCATTATCGGGTTGATTTTTAGTTTTCATACAAGTAGCTCTGACCGGAAGTTAATATTAGCATTTTAAGGTAAAACTCCCAATCATTCAACTTCTTCATGGTCTTAGTGAAATTTATTTCAAGTCGGAAAAGCTGTTTGTTTTCGTGATTCTTGGAAACTAGATAAATCACGATCATGGAAACCTGATAATCCAACCACTTTCCAAGGGAGAGAGTACTTGTTGAAACCGGATTTCCGTAACTTGTTTGTTTTTGAAATGTATATTCCGCGTTTTCCTTCCTCCACCAATACTAATGCTGGTTACCGAATTTTGTTTTGAAGCACATCTGAATACAGGTTTCTTCACTCCCATCCGTGACATTAGACATTGAGTTTTGTCAAGAGCCTATAGGATTTAGCATATAAAGACGGTATGTTAGACTGGCGGCTCTGTTTGTGTGTGAACTGTACATTACAATTATAATACCAGTCATAAATGTTTATTTACAAAAAAAAAAAGTGGATATCTACTTTGGAGTATCAAAGAAATATACCACAGACAGTTCAGGGATATTACGTGTTTGTGATCCCACAAGCCCACGTTTTTTAAAAGTTCATTAAATTTTTAGGACTTTATTTACTGGATTTATGCATTTCATTCGCTTGAGTATAGTGCATTGAGTTGTACTTGAGGTTATTGAGATATGTTATGGACTGATTAGATATGTAAAAAATTGCATTCTTAGGAAATAAAAGGTAGCGCAAAGAAACGTTAAACTCAATACTATAGCCATTCACAAGTGGGCGTAATTAATACTCATGTGTCAGAGTTTTTTAATGTTTTTAGAAACATTAGCTTGGGTGTCATTAGAACTAGTTACTTATATATGATCTGTATAACTTGGATATTGTTTGAAATCTACCAAACCAATAAACTGTATGAATTCAACTTGGTGGATAACTTTTCACAAAAGTTATAGTAAATAGAGGTCGCTACAAAATATGTGAATTATTATTATTACACCATTATTAAATTTTATTTACATCATACCCAAAAATAGCATGGTTACTAACTACATGTTTATTTTGCATATTCATTTAACATAATTTTGTTATATACATTATAAATGAAGAAATAGTAAATATTAAATAGTATAACATAAATTGGCTTAGATGTGTGAAAACTAGATTGAGGAGCATTTATAAATATTTTATTCTATTTATGGTTACTAGGTAACCATTTATTCTCCAATCACAAGGTTTATAATAAAATTATATAGGGATCTTTGAAACTATGCCTAGTCCGTAGGAAAACTTGTGTACGTAGGAAGAGGAAGAATATGCTGCATAACTTGGAATTAAATATAAATTATGTTGACTGTACTTATAACTTGAATAATTTTTTTACGGTCAATAAAATATATTAGTACTTTTTTGTGACGAAAGACGTGTATATTGTTTTTGGTAGGCCTACTCTAATCAAAATAGCCAAACTTGGCGAAGACCATTTCGTTAAGTTAGCAAGTTCATCGATGAAAGGCCATTACATAGTCAATATCTGCCAAACCGCTCCGCACAGATAGCCTATTGTGTAGCTTTTTACTTAACATCAAACAAACAAACCCTCCACACAGTTATAACCTATTTCACACAAGGTGGCGCCCTTTTAACCTTATTTTATGATTTTTAGTAATTACGTGCCAATTGGCAAGCTTTATATCTAATGCTACTTAAAGGATTGAAAATCTATTAACGCTTCCAGCGCTTTAATTAGTTGAAGCATTATAACGACCTTCTAATCACTGGAACTTGTTTCTGTATCGATGAATATGCTTCAGAGGGTATTCTGTGAGTAGAGACGAGAGTGCGTTGTTTCACCATTTGATGTTTCATTATACCAAATTGTTAGGTAGACGTTGATCAACCTAATAGCCATCTACCTTCTTATTGTTATGTTAAACAAGAAGTTGTTAATTGTTTTGTTTTTCCAAAATATTTCTTGTAAAGTGTGTGTGTGTATATATACTCATATTTTAACTTCGAAATAATGTATAATAGACTCCAGATTATCAAACAGTTTATATTCAGATCTTACTGGCATTCATTACATAAAATTAATACATCATTGAGTCATTGTTACTTTACGTAGAACTTTTAATTTTGTTTGTTACTACATTGAAAAACCTTTGTTTAAAGTTACACTCTGTTGTTGTTTCAAAACATAATCGTTATTTTTGTGTTTTATATTTTAACTACAGTAAAAATATTTTGTGTGGTATATTGCAAAACCCGGAGGATTGTTTGTTTTTGAATTTCGCGCAAAGCTACACGGGGGCTATCTGCGCTAGCCGTCCCTAAGTTAGCAATGTAAGACTAGAGGGAAGGCAGCTAGTCATCACCACCCACCGCCAACTCTTGGGCTACTCTTTACCAACTAATAGTGGGATTGACCATAACATTATAACGCCCCCACTGCTGAAAGGGCGAGCATGTTTGGTTTGACAAGGATTCGAACCCGCGACCCTCAGATTGCGAGTCGAGCGCACTAACCACCTGGCCATGCCGGGCCAACCCGGAGAATAAAGCCACACTGTATCGTCATTATATTGTGTAAACGCTTTTAGTTTTATTTTTTACCAGAATAAAAAGCTTTTGTGTGATACATTGCAAGACTTGTAGAATGTGTCGTTGTTTTATTCCTCAACATATTTTTTTGTGCGTGGAGTGAAAGTAATTTAAATGCATGTCTACGTCTCCCAAACGTTTTGTTTGTATATTTTAACGTTTTTGTTTGGTACATTCATGAAAGGCATTGTGTCTAACGTCACACAAAATATACAGAATATATCAGTATAAAGTCGCCGTGGAACCGAATGCATAAGAACTACATTTTGACATTATTTGGCGTCGCGAAAATAGTGTGATACCACTAAAAACTGAACGCATTTGGATAGGGTATGTAACAACCCTTTCCATCGCAAAATATTCATACACTCAGATTATATAGGTGTGTTCAGATCTGAGATATAGAATTTTGAAGACAGAGATAAGGGTGTACTTAATG